ACACAGTGGCTGCACAGGCCTGAGTAGCACTGGTGAGCGTGGCCCTTGGAGCCCTGGGGCGATGAAACCCACACAGGACAAAGGGCCTGCAGGATCGCAGGCAGCCAGCAGGGCAGTCTCTTCCAACTCCTTTTATTTTTCAAACATTTATTCATTCATCTTGAAAGGCAGAACAACGGCCGCGCACACACACACACACCATCTTCCACCCACTGGTTCACTCCCCCAAATGCTTGCAGCAGCCAGCACTGGGTCAGGCTGAAATCAGGAGCCAGGAACTCCATCCTGTCTCCCACACGGGCAGCACGGTCCCAGGCTGTGCATTAGCAGCTGAATAGCTGGGACTTGAACTGGCACTACCATATGGGTTGTAGGCATCACAAGCGGAGACTTAACCCACTGCGCCACAATGCCCACCCCACCCTGATTTTCTGAAGCCTGAGCTCCATGGAACATAGTAGATTTTACTGGATCATTCTCCTGCTTCCTCTCTTATTGTGGCAAATTAAACATAACATAAAGCTGATGTGAGTGTCTGAGTGTACAGTTCAGTGGTATTATGCATACTTACACAGTTCAGCACAGCCACCACTACCATCCATCTCCAGATCTTTCTCAGATTTCCAAACTGAAGCCTGTATCTGTGAACACCACCCTCCCACTCCCTCTCTCCCTAGCCCCAGGCTGCCAGCATTCTCCTGTCTGTCTCTCTGTCCTTAGGCCTCTGGCATATGACCTCAGAAGGAAGCTCCTGTGACAGGGTAGCTTATAAAAGCTCAGGGGGACCTGGCCTGCCACCTGAGTGTCCCTCTGCCCACACTGCATCGCCATCCCCCAGCCTCCCCAGACAGCTGAATCAAGGGGGTGCTGATCAATCTTGGACTGCGAGCCTCCAAAATCATGAGCTAAAATTAACTTCTTTGCTTTGTAAGTACTTGTTGTAGATATTTCATTCTAGTAATGCAGAAGAAGGGAGAGATGTTAGGATTTCTTTTTTTATTATTATTTATTTATTTATATTTGAAAGGCAGAGATACAGAGAGAGGACAGAGAGAGATCTTCCATCCGCTGGTTCAACCCACACCAATGGCCACAATGTCTGGGGCTGAGTCAGGCTGAAGCCAGGAGCCTGGAGCTTCTTCCTGGTCTCCCACATGGGTACAGGGGCCCAAGGGCTTGAGCCATCTCCCGCTGCCTTCCCAGGCACATTAGCAAGGAGTTGGGTTGGAAATGAAGCAGCTGGGATGTGAACCAGCGCCCGTATGGGATGCCGGCACTGCAGGTGGAGGCTTAGCCTTCTACGCCACAATGCCAGCCCCAATCCTGGGATTTGTTCCCCTTTGCCTCGACAGGCATCTCAGACCAGTGACTGTATCTCCTCTGTGGCTCTGGCTCCTGCTGGGTACCATCGCCTCCTTGCTGCGCCCCTGTGCCCTTAGGGAATGGTGGCTTCCTGCTTTTGATAATCTTTGAGCTGCTTCATCATCCCCTTTTGGGTTGCTTCTCTGTTCCATGATTTCTGTAACAACTGCCTGGGGTTGACATGGCACACAACCCCATATCAGAGAGCTGGTTTGAGCCCTGGCTGCTCTGCTTCCAAACCAGCTCCTGCCAATGTACCTGGGAAGGCAGCAGAAGATGGCCTGAGCACTTGGGTCCCTGCCACCCTTGTGGGAGACCAGATGGCGTTCTTGGCTCCTGGCTTCTGCCTGGCCCAGCAGCAGCTGTTGCACTCACTTGGGGAGTGAACCAGTAGATGGACTATCATTGTCACTCTGCCTTTCAAATAAACAAAATGAATCTTTGAGGGAAAAAAAAAAAAGCCAGGAAAACAGAAGCCTCTGTAGCTCTTTCCTCATTCACACGCAGAACGAGGAAGTTCTTCCTCCGAGCCCCACACTAGGCTGCAGCCCTGCTCTGCACCATGGCTGCACACCCTGTGCTCCCTCAGGCTCCTCCCCCCCGGGTGGGGTGGGTACCGCAATGCAGGGAGGTCCTCCTCCGAGACAGCCTGTGCCGCATCTGCAAGCCCACACAAGCTCTTCCTTCTCCACGCTACACATCATGCTCATCCCCAAGCCATGGTTCGTTCTCTTTTTAGAGGGCCGTCCCTTTGCCTCTCACCTTATTTAAGCCCTGCCGCACACTGCAGGCTCAGCTCAGTCAGGGGCCGCTGCTCTGCAGCCATCATCAGCCTCGGGAGACCTTTGCTTCCTCACCTCCTGTAGCGCCCACCATTCCTTCCACTCATCACCCCCTCCCCAAACTACTTTCCACTTTACTCAGCTGTCTCACCTGGGTGCTATTCTGTTCCCAGCAAGACTACAAGCTCTGGAAGGCAGAAACAATACCCTGCGGTTTAAACGATGTTTGCTAAGCACACATTTAATAGAATGATCACCGAATGAACAGGAATTGTGGCGGTATGTTCTCTGCGCGGCAAACACACCTCTCAAAAGACAACGACTTCAGCTGTGGCCTCTAAAAAGACACGCTGAAGTGCTAACCCGCAACACCTGCGAGCGTGACCTTAATTGGAAACAGGGTGTTCGTGGAGAAGATCAGGTGAAGATGCAGCCAGTGTGACTGCTGTCCTCGTAAGAAGAAGAAAACTGAGACGCAGACAGGGAGGGGAGAAGATCCCACGAAGATGGGCGTTGGAACTGGACTGATGCTGCCATGAATAAAGGAACGTGGGCCATCAGGAGCAGGGAGAGGCAGGCGAGGGTCCTCCCTGGGGCTGAGGGGCAGATGTGACCCTCACAAACCTTGCTTTCGGACTCGTGGTCTCTAGAACAGGAGTGGGGAACCTTTTTTCTGCCAACAGCAATTTGGATATTTATACCATCATTCATGGGCCATACAAAGTTATCACCTTACCCTGTTGAAAAATGTTTTTAAAGATTTATTTATTTGAGAGAGTTACCGGCAGAGTGGGAGCAGGAGTGGGAGAGGGAGAGAGAGAGAATCTTCTGTCCACTGGTTCATTCTCCAAATAGCCACAATGGCCAGGACTGGGCCAGGCTGAAGCCAGGAGTCAGGAGCTTCATCTGGGTCTCCCATGTGGGTGCAGAATGAAGCACTTGGGCTATCCACTGCTGCTTTCCCAGGCTCCTTAGCAGGGAGCTGGATCAGATGTGGAGCAGTTGGAACTTGAACTGGTGCCCATATGGGAGGCTAGCACTGCAGGCAGTGGCTTAACCCAGTGCACCATAATGCCAGCCACATTCAGATTTTTTGAATTTTGAGTCCTGCTGTGGTTGCCTTGGCAGAGCCAAACCAAATGATTCTGTGGGCATTACATGGCCTGTAGGTCACACGTTCCCCGCCCCTGTTCTAGAACCAAGAGATAAGACATTTCTGTGGTTTTAAGCCGCCCAGTCCGTGGGACCTCTGTTAGGGAAGGGCCGGCTGTTTCCATGCATACAGGCAGATCCCAGTGATATGGTTCATACGTCCTTGCTGGGCCCAAGAGTGACAACTGGATGGCTTTGGCCCCCTTGGCATGAGCTAAACAAGCAGCGGTGGGTGGGGTCTCTACTTTGAAACACAGAGTGCTCAGGTGCTGTGGGGAGGCGGCGTCCTCCACTGCAAGCGTGGGCCCTCCCCAGTTCACCTGGGAGGCTGCAGACGCCGGCCATGCTGCTCCCCTGGGAAAGGTCCCCTCCCCGCAGTGTGTCCTAGCCCAGGCGAGGTCAAACTGTAAACCCTAACACTCAGGACGTGATCTCTATTTTTCAACTTTTTTTTTTTTTTTTACTTTAGTATCCCATGCAAGGTACATCCCAGTAAAGCTTTCAATAAATGATTTTTAAGAAGTTGAGGGAAAGAAAAAACTTCTCCCAGTCATGTTCCTGATGTAGCAGCCTGGGATGTATGATACAATCCACCCCAAACGCCAGGTGTGGCCAGCTGGTTCGGCTTGGGAAAATGGCGGCCTGCCCTCCCTCCAACACCCATTCGCCCTGCCCATGGGAGCAGGGCCCAGACTTACAGTTTTGGAGGGAGCATAGTGCGTGGGTGAGCCCAGTGGCGGCCTGGCTGCACTCTGCAAGGACAGGCAGAACCTCTGGCCGGTGTCCGGAGGCGGCGAGGAGGCGTGGACGCGGTTCTCCAACCGCTCGGGCTCTTGCTTGTAGGACTCGAGGGGAAACGTGTGTTGCTTGGTCACCTGCGTGGGTGTCGACGGAGAGGAGGAGAGGCTGGAGGCTGTGGGGAGAGGCAACACAGTGCTGTTGGAACCCGGCTGAGGGCGGAAATGAGTAAAACCTACAACCCAGAAGTGGGTGTTGTGGCACAGTGGCTTTAGCCTGCGTCCATACCAGAGGGCCTGGGATGCAGCCCCACCTCTGCTTCGGGTCCAGCTTCTTGCTAATGCGCTGGGAGGCAGCAGGTGATGGCTCCAGGACTTGAGTCCCTGCCACCCGTGTGGGAAACCCAGATGGAGCTCCTGGCTCCTGGCTTCAGCCTGGCCCAACCCTGGCTGTTGTGGCCATCTGGAGAGAGGACCAGTGAAAGGTCTGTGTCTCTCCCTCTATCTCTGTCACTCTACCTTTCAAATGCGTAAATCAATAAATCTTAAAAAAAGAAATCCAAACCCAGAAAGAAAAGCAGAAGCAATCTCTCTCTCCCTAGGAAACAAGAAAAAGAAGAAAGAAAAGAAAAGAAGAGAAAAGAGAAGAGAAGAGAGGAGAGAGAGAAAAAGAGAGAGAGAGAAAGAAAGAAAGAAAGAAAGAAAAGGAAGGAAAGAAGGAAAGAAGGAAGGAAGGAAGGAAGGAAGAAAAAAGAGGGCAGGAAAAAAAGAAATAAAAAAACCAAGTAAGCAGAGACTCCGATACTTTCATGTACCGAAGAATCTCGAATGGCAAAAATATAAATTATTAAACTCAACATTGTGGAAGAGGTTTTTATAAAGTTATTTCTGGTCTCTGGGAACCAGCTGTGTCCAGCTGTGTCATCATCCGACAAGGGCCCAGGCAGGCTGCTACTAGGCGGGGCTCCAACACTGCCCGCTCCAGAGTCCAGCCCCATCTGACTCCTCCCCCTTGCCAAGCACAAACCCACAGGTGCCATGTTCACTGAGGCGGCACGTGGGAAGGCCATGGTTTTCAAGAGACCCAGGTCGATGCTGCAGAAGTGACGTTTAGGGGGACAGGTGGGACCCGAGGAGTTCCGGCGCGGCTGCCAGAGCACGTGACACAGCCATTGTGACTGTGAGTTCACGGCAGTGAGCGTTCATCACAGGGAAGGTGTCAGAGGAAGCTCCAGGCCGGGGAGGGAGCAGACAGGGGACAGCAGAACGGAGGCAGCGACAGCGTCGGGAACGAGTTGCAGGGAGACTGGGGACATGACGCCGTCGGGAGGAAAGGCCGTCCACTCGGACAGGGCTGCCGCAGTGCGGGACTGTGCAAGTAGGCAGCCGAGGCTTACCGACTGACGTCCGGCTGTGAGAGAACTGAGCCATCTGTGTGCACCGAAAGGAGGACACTGAAGTCCGAATCCCCGGTACCTGTCAATGGGAACTTTTTTTTGGAAATTGGCCACTTTAAGATGAAGTTGTGCTGGGTTAGGGTTGGCCTCTGACCTAGTTATGACTGGTCTGATGAGAGGAGCCGAGACAGAGGGCTGCTGGCAACACCAGGAGCCACAGCAGGCGGGAAGCATCCCCACCCCCACCCCCTGCGGGTTCCGGAAGGAGCAGCGACCTGCCACACCGGAGCCTGGACTTCCAGCCTCCAGAACACTGGGGACTTAAGCGCCCAGTCTGTGACCTTGTTACTGAGGCCCGAAAGGAACTGAAATAATAATGCTCCCTGATTATGTTTTCCAGGAGAGACCAAATTTGGACTTGAGTCCGCAAGCTCACATGCTTCAGGTAAGTATAGGGAACCTCGTTCTACATTGTAAATTATGCACGTCAAACAGGATGTCACAAGACGTGGCCCAAGGGCCTCCATTTGCTACTTCTGACCCAGACAGCGAGGTGGCCCTGGGGCCATGGCCCTCTGCCAATTCCAGATTCCTCCTCACAGCCCTGGGTGCATGCGTCCCCTCTGCTCCCATCCGCCCTCCCACTCTTTCTGTGCCAATCCATCCAACCTCCCTCCCTCACGTGTCTCACACAAACTGTTTAACTCTCAAACCAGATAGAAAGATATGTTAATCTCTTTTCCCCAACAAAATCCCTCACCTGTCTTCAAGCCTGGGACCCTGCTCCCAACATGGAGCGAGCCAAGTGAAAATTGTCCCCACAGGTCTTGAGAAGCGAGCCCAGCTTTGAGGTGGGGCTGGGGAGAAGGGGGAGGGAAGAAAAGAGCTGGAAGGGTCTGCCATGGCTTAGCTCTTCAGGAGTTGGGGGTGTGGCCGGTAGGGCCCTCCTGCAGCCCAGGCTTCAGCTGGGTGGCACCAGCCGTCCCCAGGGATGCCCGTAGAGCCAGCAGGGTGTGTCTCGGCCTTTCAGAGGGCTCTGCTGGGGACCTGGGCAAGAAGCCCCTGGTGATGTTTTGTTTGCAGAGCAGGCCCTGCAAGGGGCCCCAGACTCCCAGGGTGGCCATGTGTCCCTTAAGGCTCTTGCAGAAAGGGTGTCCTCAGCAGGGACACTGCCATTCTGGACCCTCACAGCAGCCAGAACAGGTGGCTCCCCTCTGAGCTCCTGCCCCTCCACACAGAGCCCTGCCCTGGCACCTTCCTGCGGGCCGCGTGTGCAGGTGACCTGATGGGTTGGAACAGAAAGGGATGCGCTGGGCGTGTTAAGGCTCAAAAGCCTGTGCCGCCCACCACATCGTACTGGTCTGTGGTAGCACCATGAGCGACCCCCTTTTGGTCGTCAGGCAGCGGGAAGGAAGGCTGGTCTCTGGTCTCTAATTGCCCCTCAGCCCCAGTGGTGGAAAGCACAGAAGTCCATCCACTCTCGGGGCACAGTCGACCCGAGCCCTTCGAATCCCAGACCAAGCTCAGACTTTTTTTTTTTTTTTTTTGGTCTCAAAGCACATCCATACAGGCCTCTTCAAAATTCCAGAGGCACACTACAAGTGCGCATGTCCCTGAGCCCCCTATTCTGTTTCTGGGAATTCCTTCCACAGACATCACTGCCTCACTGCTGAGCACATGGGGTTATGCATTACACTGCTGCCCTAATAGCAGAGCCTGGAGACACAGACGCTGCTGAGAGGGAGCGGGGAGAGGAGGAGGAGGAGGTGGCGGCAGCGGTGAAATAAATCATGCTGGCGCATCCGCACCGGCAGCAGGATGCACCAAAGCCTGGTTCTTTTCATCTCCAACACAAAGTGGTGCATGAAAAAAGCCAAGTGCGGAGCCATCTGTGCCCAACGAGGCCATTTGTGGCTTTAAAAAGGAGAGAAGGGCTTTACATATTACAGCGTGCATACGCTCAGTCTGTCTGCAAACGCTCAGGAGGTCTCCAGGGAAGGGACCAACTGGTAGGGAAGGCTTTCACCCTGCACCCTGCTCTGCTGATTACATTTTACACGCGAGGCTGTATCTGCTGTTTCGAGAAGACTCTGCTCCGCTCCTGACTTGCGCTGGGGATGCTGGAGTTAAGCCCTCCGCCGCCTCCTGTGCCCTGGTCCCACCCGAAGCCTGACTTCGAGCTTTTGGTGTGTGGTGTCTCCGTGTGACAGCTCACAGTCACTGCCCCCCGCCATTTCTATATCTTGGTCTCACTCTTCGAAAACTATCCCACTGCTGTTGCGTAAGGGACCTCATAGTCAGCAAAAAGACGCCTCTCTAGTTGGCAGGGTGCACAGTGTTTCTCTTTCAAGTGTAAATTATTTAAAGAGACGTGACTAAGTGGCTTGCCTCTAAGAGGTCTCTTTGAAGCACAAAACACAGTGGTGTCTGCATCCCCCGGGGCCCCTGGCCCTTTGTGAGGGCTGGGATGCTCCTCACCCACTGTCCGAGGAAGGCCAGCGAGAGGGCGAGGTGCGGAAGGCCGGCGGCCACAGACACAGCCTGGCAGAGGTGTTTTGGATGGGGAGAAGGAAAAGCGGACTTCTCAGCTGCTGCTGGGAACCCCTTGTTTCTGGTGGGACTGACGCACTGACTCGCCATCGCTCTCACTGAAATCTTCCCAAGCTCAAAAGATGCTTCCGGAGCTGGCGCTGTGGCTTAGCAGGTAAAGCCACTACCTGAGACACCAGCATCCCATATGGGCGCTGGTTCCAGCTCCGGCTGCTCCACTTTGGACCCAGCTCCCTGATGATGGCCTCGGAAAAGCAGCACAAGTTGGTACAAGCACTTGGGCCCCTGCACCCACATGGGCGACTGGGATGAAGAGCTGTCTGGAGCCAAAGACGTGCCCCCTCTTCTCATGGGGGCCTGAGATATCCTTAGCAGGGGTCGAGCTGTGTACACCCCAACTTTTACAGGGAGCCTTATTGTCGGCCGAGAGGGAGGGGGCGGGCTACCAACCCACTTTACAGATGCAGAAACTAGACTGGAGGAAGCTGAGTTAACAGACTGAGCCAGTCCACAGCAGAGGTCACACCTGACTCCAAACTCTAGTCTCCGGGTCACGATTAAACTGGGATATCACCAACCGAGACAACCCGGGATTTAAAATCCCATTTCAGCTGGGTGAATTACTCTTCTAGAAAGCGAGGTTTCACAGGCTGACCAGAAGAAGAGCCCACAGGGCGCTGGGTGCCCGAGATGAGAGCTAAGAGGTGCGGGGGAGGGGGTGGGTACGGACAGGGTGCTTCCTGCCGTCGGGTGGCCTTGGCCTTTCTCCAGAGGCATTTTTCTTCGGGTTGGATCAGCCAGAAAGAGCAGAGACAACGGGCAACAGAGAAGGGACTTGGATTCAAGTTGGTACTGCCGAGTCAGCATGGGGGAAACTGTCTTGTGGCAGCCAAGTGGGGCAGGTGAGAATGAGATTCCCGAACTCCCTCTCTGCTTGGATACTGGTGTCGCAATGCATACACACAGAGCAAAAGAGGCCACGCGGACACACTCCCCGACTCCTTGTGACGACACCGCTTTACTTCTTAATCACAGGGTAAGCTGCCACATTCAGACCCTGCAGGAGCTCCCCGTGTCTGCCAGGCCACAGTGCAGGTGTGGAAAGAGACGTGCGTCAAGATCGGCCAGACGGAGTCTCAGCTCTCAGCCTGGCTGGGGAGGCAGGACAAGGGCAGTACGCGTGGTGCAGTGGTTCCCATGTTGCACCCCTTACTCCCTACCCCTTACTCCACTGCCTCCCATTCTGATTCCAGCTTACTGCTGATGTGTACCTTAGGAAGCAGCCGGTGATGTCTCAAGTAACTGGGTCTTTGCCACCCACTTGGGACACCCGGACAGAGTTCCAGGCTCCTTCCTGACTTTGGCCTGGCCCAGCCCTAGCTGTTGCGGGCATATGGGGAGTGAGGCAGCAGACAGGAGAGATCTCTGTCCTTCTCTCTGTCTCACTGCCTTTCAGATAAATGAAGATGTTTTAAATTTCCAAATTATTTAAAGAACCCAAAAAGCGAACCCAAGAATACCACGCAACAAGCCTTGACTGTCACATGCAAGGCTTGCCGAAGCCAAGGGAGCTCAGGGAGGAAACACGGGATTTAAAATCACATTTCAGCTGGGTGAATTACTCTTCCAGAAAGCAGAGGCTGCAGGGGAGGGCACGCTTCACAGAAACACCTGAGGATTGGCCCTCAGATCTGGGAAGCAAAATGAAGCTGCTCCCAACTCGGGCAAATTCCCTAGGGGCCCAGAAGGGCCTGGCTAGCCGTGGCAGCAACCCGGGAAGGCTCTGGCCGGCCGCAGGACAGACAGGCTCTCCGGTCTGCTTCTCCTGAGCAGGCGTCTCCCTTCCTCTGCTTCTCCAGGACTCTGTTCAGGGCGCCGTCAGCTCTGCGGGGAACAACGCCGTTGATTTTCCTGGGGCCACAGCCAGGCCCAGTGAATAGGCCCAGTGAGTGAACACAAACTGCTCCTGGCAGCCCCACACAACACCACGCAAGTGGCTCCAGACACCAGGGAGCCATGAGCTAGTGACTTCACAGGGCTTGGCTGTCCCTCCTGGCGGGAGCCACGTCTAGAGAGAAGGGGGAGGAGAGAGGAGAACAGAGGTGCCGCTGGCAGGAAGTGGCCACCAGCCTGCAGAGAATACCTGGGGTGTGGAGAGGAACCCTGGGTGTCAGAAGCATCCAGCCCAAGGCCTGGTTTTGCTACAAAGTAGCCTTGGTGAAAAGAAGCCAGGTAGACCAGATGGCTACATGGAACCCTCCAGCCCGCTGTGCTACATCAGTGGGATGAGCTGCAGCCACTGGCCTTTTGCATGCATGGAGTTGGGAATGACAAGGAAGAAGGAAAAAAATTCTTTTTGTTGACTGTTGTTCCAGAAGGCAAGCAGTGAATTTACTCTGGATGGCGGGGTTGTTTATGTGGGGTTTTTAAACCACTAACCGCTCATCACAGAGATGACGGGTTGGTGGTGTTCCTGACTTTGGAGGGATGACGGCGAGGGTCACAAAGGGGACAGCAGCACAGGGAGGGTGCCAAACCCAAGTGCCACAGCAGGATTGCTTACGGCCAAGGCCCCAGGTCCTGGAGAGGGAGTTACAAGGGACACAATGCGATACTCATAAGTGGTGCGTGTACAGCGGGGTCTGAGCGAGCTGCGGCAGCAGAACCAGCATCGACTGCGTGTTCGCCGAGGGTCTTCTCTTGAGGAGGGCGTGCATGGCTTTCATTTCTCAGGGCCTGGTTTCTCGGCTTTCCCTCTGGCCTGGTTCCCCGGACCCCACCATGCACTGTCTCCTCTTCTGTCTGCCTCTGACAGGCTGTGGGAGCTGGCTCCCTGGCCTGCTGGCTCTGGCGTGGTTTTGGTCAGTGCAGGGCACTGGCAGAAACCTGGGGGTCTGGAGAAGATGGGGGTTCTCCCCGGACCTCCTAGCCTCCACCTGCTGGCCTTGGCCTTCAGCAACATCTCCTTCCCTGGGCTCTTCAGGCCTGGGTAGTAACAGGCTCCTCTCTTGCCATCCCTCCCTACTGGCTCCCAAAACCCTGGGAGCCATACCTCTGGGAGGCCTATGCAGAGCCCCAGCCCAATGTGCCTGTGTTTCCCAGCCCGAATGATACGACCTGCAGCCTCCACTCCCAAACCACAGTGAGGGACTGCTCAGTGCAGCGGAAGGCACAGAGCCCTGGAGCCCACAAACCTGGGTCTGACCCTAAATGCACCCCTCGGGCTGTTGGTGGCTTCAGCGGGGCTGGCGCAGCTCAGGCCCTCGGTTTATTACTAGACAACATGAGCCACCCAGGGGCTTTCTGTGATGAGTCAGAGCACCCGGAACACCAGCTCCCACGGTATGTCCTCAGTGATCGGGAGCTGCCATCAACAGCCGACAAGACTTTAGGGAGAGAGACCCCGTTGGCAGAGACCTGGCTGTGCTGTGCTGTCTCTGGCGGTCTGTGATGCTCAGGAGGGGAGGAGTTTGACCCAGCTGACGTTCAAATCTGGGGTCACCCCGCCCCAGCTTGCTCTGGTGTGGTGAGGGGGTGAGAAATGCCCACCTGCCCCTCTTGGCAAGTTGGGGGTTTTCCTGTGGGCAGTCCTGGCCATCGCTACCACACGGATACTCAACTCACGGTCTGCCAAGGTGAAGTCTCAGGGGCGTCAAAGACTGTCATGGGCTTTCCCCCACTCAGATCTGATGGCTTAAGGCAGGTACAAAGGTTGGAGAGTGCAGAAGCCCACTCAGCGGGGTTTGCCTGGGGTGGGTATTCCACGACACTGACACGGAGGCCAAGGACAGTCACTCCCGGGACCCAGTGAAGGGCTGCTGTCTGGGTGACCCCAAAGCAGGAATGCTGTCCACAGATCAGGCCTGCCCGTGAGACAAGCGACATCCTAATACCCTTTTTTCTCATAAATCCATTTTCCTCCTTTCCCCTCAGCCTGCTACTTGAGTCCCCAGGTCATTCTTCAAGACAGTTTCTAAAGGACCTGCTTTGGTGGGATGCATTTTACCTGTGCCGCCTCACCTGCCCCACCCCACCCCCGGCCCACAGACCCTGGGAGACCACCGCACTGGGGATGCTCCACCCAGACCACCCCGAGCTTCTCCTTGAGAACCACTCTTGCAGTCAAGCGTTTTAGTTTCAGAACCCCCAACCCTCTTTAAAATGCTATTTGCTTTAACATGGAATAAGTCTGCTATTGTTATTTGTAAGTCAGTTATTATTTTAAAATGTTCCATTTCAATTTCTCATGCAGTGACTATGGACACACAGGAAGGACCACATCAACAAGAGCTCTTTGGATCCAGTGCTCTGGCATAAAACTGTGGGTAAAGCTGCTGCCTGCAGTGCCTGCATCCCAAGTGGGCGCTGGTTTGAGTCCCGGCTGCTCCACTTCTTCTTCTTTTTTTTTTTTTTTTTTTCAATTTTCTGCCGGGGGTGGGTGCCACTTCTGATCCAGCTCTCAGCTGTGGCCCGGGAAAGCAGTAGAAGATGGCCTAAGTCCTTGGGCCCCTGCAACCACGTGGGAGACCTGGAAGAAGCTCCTGGCTCCTGACTTTGAATCGGTTGAGCTCCAGCCGTTGCGGCCGTTTGGGGAGTGAACCAGAGGATGGAAGACACTTCTCCCTCCCCCCCGCCCCGTAACTCTGCCTTTCAAATAAGTAAATAAATCTTAAAAACAAAACAAAACAAGAGCTCTTTGGGATCCTCAATCCTTTCTCTGAAGCAGTTTCTCTCCAATCTATACATAGTTTTTGCAAATGTCTTCAATGTCTGACTTATGTTAACACGCTAGATTCTTCTACCTGTTTCTGGATTCAACCTGTTCATTGCATGGTTATGGGTGAAGTAGATGGAAAAAAAAAAAAAAAAACTTAGCCTCACTTAGTTAGCAGAGAAACCACAAGATCCTGTGAATGAGACTTGGGGCCCAGAGGGGTCCTTGGACCTCACTCTCAGAACCCATATTATATCCACAGAATTATGCCCACATTATGTCCAGCCCGATTATGTCCACAGAATCCCCCCCAGGACCGGCACTGTGGCACAGTGCCCCAGCCTGCAGCGTCGGCATCCCATATGGGCGCCAGTTCTAGTCCGGCTGCTCCACTTCTGATCCAGCTCTCTGCTATTGCCTGGGAATGCAGTAGAAGATGGGCCAACTTCTTGGGCCCCTGCACCCATGTGGGAGACCTGGAAGAAGCTCCTGGCTCCTGGCTTCAGATCAGCTCAGCTCTGGCTGTTGTGGTCATTTGGGGAGTGAACCAGCGAATGGAAAACCTCTCTCTTTCTCTCTCTGGCTCTACCTCTTTCTGTAACTCTGTCTTTCAAATAAAATAAAATAAATCTTTAAAAAAAAGAAGCCCCACCCACTTATTTTTGTTTTAAATATATAGTTAATTTTTCTTTGGTAGAAGTTATTCCATTCAGTGACTTTTCAAAGATGTGTATGCATGTATGTATTTATTTATTTATATCTACTTGAAAGGCAGAGAGAAGGGGGGGGGAGAGAGAGGGGCAGAGACAGATCTATCTACTGGTTCACTTCCTAAATGCCTACAACAGCCTGGGCTGGGCCAGGACAAAGCCAGGAGCCAAGAACTCCACCCCGGCCTCCCATGTGGGTGGCAGGAGCTGCATGACTGAAAGCAGGGGAAGTGGGACTTGAACCAGCACCTCCATGTGGGATGCAGGCCTCCCAAGCGGTGCTTGACTTGTGGTACCACAACGCTGGCCCCAAGCCCACTTGCTTCTACCTGCTCTTTCCTCTGTTCCCCGCAGTCCTCTGCTCCCCGCGGAGGCACCGGCACCCTTGGCTGGTGCCGCGTAACTGAAAACAGGCCATCCCTCAGTGCTCACATCATGTGATGTTTTGCTCCCCTTCACACGATGATATCCAGTTTGTGTTGGGGTTTCTCGTGGCGCCAAGCACAGCGCTAAGCATTTGTACCAGTTGTTGTGGGATGATTTTCCTTAGCAGAGCTTGAATTCACTGAGGACACACACACAACAAGAGATGACACAAGAGAATTTCAGGCACGGTTCAGAGACAGAGGTGTTTCTGTCCAGGGTTTTCAAGGCCTGCCAAATCACATGGCTGTGTCTGAAGAACACCCCACCCTCTTCCTCCTCTCAATTGGAAAATCAAGTCCCCCAAATTACATCGACTGCTGAGCAGGTGCTGCTGGAGTACTTTCAGAGCAGAGTTCCTCCCCCAACGTGGAGCCCCACGACCAGAGCACGTGGGCTTGGGAGGCTCTGCTTGGAGCTACTTTACGTCTCCCGCTTCCCTCAATGGCCCACAAGATTGTCCATGTCTTACAGACACTAAGAGGCCCAGCATCAGAGGGCTCATGTGTTTGGTCTAAACTGTTGGGCATACCTGATCCATTTTGGTGTGGTGTCTGTGAACTTCTCAGGAACTCTGTGGTGTGCTAGAGACACCCTCAGAAAGTCCTGGCACGGCCAATTCACAGCCCACTGTGATGGCCATGCCCTAGACCAGCCTGATCACACCAGTCCTGAGGGGTCTGGAACACACAGAATCTCACATGAGTGGCCAGAGGTAGCCCAAGATTCAGGCTGAAGCAGTGTGGCCCCTTGGCATTGCTTCTGCAAAAATGGCCTAGAGAAAACCTCCTTACTCTGATACAAATCCAATCAGGCTCTTTTTATTTATTCATTTATTTTGAGAGATGGGGGGAGAAAGAGAGAAAGAGAGAGAGAGAGAGAGAGACCAGAGACAGAGACAGAGAGCTTTATCTGCTGGCTAATTTCCCAGAAGCCTGCAATAGTCAGGCCTGGGCCAGGTCAAAGCCATGATCTCCCACTTGGGTGGCAGGAATCCAGCCCCTTGAGCTGTCACTTGCTGCCTCCCAAGCTGTGCACTAGCAGGAAGCTGGAATCAGGAGCCAGAGTTGGGAATTGGAATCCAGGCACTCCGATGTGGGCCAAGCACATTTTAACTGCTAGGTCAACTGTCCATCCCCAGGTTATTTTATGAGGATCACAACCCCCTCACCCACATTCAGGTCTGATGATTTCACTGAGTTTGCAGAAAATGCCCTGCTTAAGGCCTCTGAGCAGGGAGCTCTGGCCAACACGGTGTTTATGACACCCTTTTATTGTGAATGGAAAACCCGTCTTGATTTTATGAGGCCCGAACACAGAAGCTGTGAAGACCAAAACCGAAAGGCAGGAAGAAGAGCAGAGAACCCAGAAAAGGAGGAAGGAAACTCAGTTCACAATTACCCTCAAAAGAGTACATTTTTTCCTCCAAGTAATTTTTCTTTAACTTTCTTTCTTCACGTATGTGAATGGCACTTACTGTTTTATGACCCAAGTGGAGTGTGCTTGTTTATAAAACCTCAAAATGCATTGTTTGCATTCAGTGGCTGCCACCCTTCTCTGATATCTTCAGAAACAGTGATTAGTGGGATGCAGGGTTGGGCTGGCAGGCTTGGACAGCGCCTGGCTGATTCTAACTATGTGTTTGTGAATAAATGTTGTCTTGAAATCGTTCAACTTTCTGTGCTATCCTCTGGAAATTTTTTTTAACTAGGCACCAACTGTGCTATTGACAAAGGGGACTGCAGTAGAAGAGGGGTTATTAGCAAAAGCAGGAGGGCCAGAGAAGGAGTTGGCATACCTACCAGGGCACCTATTTATACTGATGTCAGTGTATTCTAAAAACAAGATAACAAGCAGTATATATAATTCTCCCATCCCCCTCACAAGAAGTCCTATTAGTGGCTTCTTAGATACTGGGTCCTTGAGCACAGCAGGCTTTGCTCTCCCCAGTGGGGACCTTGGCCTACCCGTGCTCCCCTGACTTCCAGATGCCAGTGCACCCCCTCAGGGAGCTGAGGGCAGTGAGACTCAAGGTTCACTTTGAGTGCCTGTGGGCTGGTCAGCAGATCTTGTTCTAGGGTCACAAGCCACACCCTTGGCCCTACCAGGGCTAGTCTACAGACCCGTTCACTCCGGCAGGGAGAGGTCGGGGCAGGAATGGAAGGTGTGGCTCGGGGCACATTTGCAGGGAGGTGGCTGGACGTGAGCCAGACCCTGCTTGGTGGTAAGTCTCAAGTGCTCCAGGACACAGGGTTGTGGCAGAGCCTGCGGGTGCAAGAGGTTATCTAAGCTGCAGCCATGCCTCATCCGTGACTTCCGGGAGGACTACAGACCCACCACTGGTCTGTCCAGCAGTGAAAGCTGGCCTGGGCTGTCAATAAATTCAGCAGGGTAGGATGGTAAGAAAGGGGAGCCCTGAGGCAGGAATCCTGCAAGAAATCCCTTCACCCGTGTTTCCTTCTGGACTAGGCAAGGGAGCTTGGAAAAGATCAAAGGCAGGGTTGGTCTCAGTCTAAAGGAGTAGAAAGTGGCATCACCAGGAAGTTCGCGTGAAAATCTGGGGGCCCTGGTGAGCCTCAGGCGCGGGCTCGGCTTTGAAGTCTGAACTCCGGCGGTGGGTTTCCAGGTCCTTCTTGTTTGGGCGGGACCAACCATGTTTTGTGTGTGGGGACTCTCCCAGGGCTTGAACTTGCCTGGGGGGAAACTGGGCTTCCTGGCCTCGGAGGTCTGGGTTTCTGTGGGAATCGTGGCAGGCACCTGTTCCCCTCTAGGGATGTTTGTGCGGCCCAGCTCTGCACATGTGGTCTGCATTTGTCCCAAGCCAATGATGACCTGCTCTGCAGCTCAAGGCTGAAGATCCCTAGAGAGCCCTCATGCTTCTCCCACGCGCTTTGGCTCCCTTTCTGCCTCTGTTCCCTATGGGTTTGGCTCAAAACCCATGATCTGGGCAGCCCCCAATCTCCATGCCCAGGAAGTCGAAGCCAAGACGCTGAGAAGAATGCTTGTGAGCACCGAGATGGTGGGGAAGCTCCGAGGCCACAGTTTCCAAACCTGCCTGGGCACAAGGATTATCTGGGAACTTGGAGAATCCATATTCCCAGGCCCTGAAGATTCTGATTGAGTGGGGTGGAGCGGGGGTGGGGGTGGGGAGCCTGGGGATCCGTTTTTAAAGCTCCCCAGGCGGCCTGCACAGTTACACAAGTTTTGGAACCCTTCATTTACTCCAACTCCCTCATTTTCCAGATAAGAAACTTCCAAAGTAATTTCTAGTTTCCATTCTTTGTGGCCGTGCGGCCTCAGGGCCTCAGCCCTCTTTCTCACAGTCCCTTCCTTGTGAAGTCCCAAGGCCCCTGCTTGCTCCCCAGCATTAACTGTTCCTCGTGCAGCCCCCTGCAGGGGCTCCTGGATCACGCAAGCGTCGTGCACACTAGGCGTCCTGCAGTAGTCGGCCAGCTCTGCTGGGTGCCCCTCTCTTTTCAGCTGACTGCTCTGAGACCCAGATCTGAACGAGGTAGAATCAATCACCTACTTCCTAAA